AGAGTTAACTCAATGGCATCAAACAACAATATTAATGTATCGGGTGGCATAGTGCAGTGTGAACCATAAGGGCTGTGGTTTGAATCTACCAGGAAACCAGATAGACAGATTTCTGTGGGTTGAAATAGACTCAAGAACAGTGGGTTTGATTTTTTTGGTATAATGTTGAGAAAGTTACTGTAACGTCGTCTTCTTTAAATTAGGGATGTTATGTGCCATCCAGTCCCCTACCACTCGCTGTGACCCTATGCACAGTAGCTCTGAACCCTGCCCCATCCTAAAGCTGTCTCACTGTTGCCAACACACCTACTCCTGTTACCTGAGTTACCGTGTCACATCATCTCATCTGGGATCTTCCTCTCCTGAGCAGGCCCTCCACCCTTCCAAATATGATATCCTTCTCCAAGAACTGGTTCCTCCTGGCTCCGTGCCCAAAGTACCTCCTGGCTCCGTGCCCAAAGTATGTGCTCTTCAAAATCCTAGCCTCCAAGGAGCATGTTGGTTTCACTCTTTACAGGACAGATCTGTTAATTATCTTGGCAGTCTGTAGTATGTTCAGTATTCTCCAGCACCACACCTCAAAGGTTTTGATCGTTCTTCTGTCATCCGTAATCATTGTCCAGTTCTCTGATGCATAGCAAGCAATTGTGAAGACCGTGGTCTGGATCAGGCACAACTCAGTCTCTAGACCGACATCATTGCCCCTTAGCACACTGGCGAATTCTTTAATTTACTTTTTCTACATTTTCCCATTTTTTAAAAAATTTATTCACCTTTTTCATGTAAATGAAATAGAAACAACAAAATATAATCAATCTTACTTGTGAGTGTATATATGTAGAGATACAAATAATAACAAAATCCAGGGGAAAAAAATTAATTTTTTCAGTTTATTTCAACTATTGTTTCTCCTAAATTAATGTAGAAATGTCTTTTCAGTGTTAATGTGTTTTTTTTAAATTGTTAACATAATATTATTTCAAAGACTGTGTTGTAGTATGAGCACACACAAACAGGAAAATGGCTGAGTGTGGGAGACACTACGCTGAGTGAAATAATTTCAGCCCAGAAGTTTACTGCATAGACTCTCTGTTGTAATAATATGATCGATTATGGAGTGAGAGGGAAGAGTGGGAAAAGAATGGGTAGATGATGAGCAGTGAACTGGAATGGGTGAAAGGAAGGACAACAGGAAAGAAATGGGCAGTTAGAAATTGTAAGTATTTTACTTAATAACCTGGGACAGGACACATATTACAAAAGGAGTTGGGTGAGAAGGAGGACTATGTGCCTAAATGAATGGAAATAAACAAGAATTATTGGTATGATTTTAACAAAGTTTTAATTTTTATTTTATTATTTTTGTGTGTATACCATCAAATCGGATCTGAGTGGTACAGGAGGAGATTGTCCCTCCTTTTCCAGAAGACCATCTGGTGGATTTGAACTGCATACCTCTGGGATTGCAGTGCAGCTTCTTGCCACTAGGCCACCAGAGCTCCCCTAGATTTTAATAAAGTTTTAAAAACTTTTCATGGAGAATTTCAAATGTGGGTAGAGTGATTCTGTGAACCATTAGGTTCTTAAAACTTTAACGCAAACAACCAGTTTAACCAAAAATATTGGGGAGATGCCAGTAGTTGAGTCTTAGATGGCCACTCGCAGCTCAGAGACTGCCTGTTATACTAGGAAATAGATAATTATTTTTATGAAATGTAACTGGCAACTGATTGAGCTCTTCCCCACCCTTAGGCACTGGTTCAGTCCAGTAGCTGCCTCAGTGTCTAAGTAGTTTCTGTGACTGTGCTACTCGTGTGCTCTCATGTGTATGAATATACATGTAGCTGTTATAGACCCGCCACTCATGGAACAGGCAAGACCTGCCCTGGGGTGAACTGGCCCAGTAACTGCAGCAGTGGCTCGAACGGCGGTGATTGTGAGAGCCGTATAGGACCAGGCTGTGTAAGTGGTCTGTTGTGCATAGGGCGTGGAACTGACTTCTTGACACCTGACAACAGTGACAACTGTTTATGTGTGTGATCATGGTCTTCTGGGATTTCTCTCCCTCTTTCATTATGCTTATACATATGCTTACAAATTTTTGTTATTATTATTGCTGCAGAATAGTATACGCTGCATCATTTACCATATTGTGCTCTGTCAGAACCAAATAATAGCCCTGCAGTGGATTTTCTAAGGCTGCAAACTGCGTGGGCAGAGCTTGCCCATCTGTCTGCTGTGGAATAGCTAATAGAGTCAACACCGGCCGTGGGTCACCAGCACCACTCCTTACCCACCGAGCCACCAGAAGTCCCCAGCATTTACCATGGTTGTCCTTAATTCTTTTTTCTTTTTTGAGGGTAAATAGTAATGAGGGAACCCCGAAGGGACAGACACTTCTTGAAAGGAGTTAAGGAGAAAAGGCCTGGTTGTCATTTGTGTGCACTGCTATTGTCCTTTGCCTTGGTCATGTTGTGTTTCATCTCATGTTGTTTGCATTTCCTTCCACTGTAACTTTTGAATATATACTACTTAGTCAGTTGCTTTCACCTTCCTCTCCCTACTTTTCTCTGTGTAAACTATTCTTGACTTCTGTAATAGTTGTAGTTGTTGTTGTGTACTTTTGAGTCAGAACTGACCCATAGCAGACTCTCCAGCAGGTTTTCTGAGGCAGTTAATCGCATGGGTGGAGATTGCCCATCCTTCTCCTGCAGAGCAGCTGGTGGATTTGAACCGTGTGCCTTTGGGATTGCAGTGCAGCTTCTTACAACTGGACCACCAGAACTCCTTTCATATAATATTTGCCCTTCTGTGATTGGATTATTTCACTTCTCATTACATTCTCCACATTCATCTTTGATAGGAGATATTTTACAGATTTATTATAATTCTTTTATCATTGCATAATATCCTAGTTCATGTATTTATCTGCACTTACTCATCTGTTAATGGAAATTTCGATTGTTTCCATACTTTTGTAACTGTGAATGACACTACAGTGCATTTGGATGTATATATATGTTTGTTTGCATGCATCTCTTATTTTTATAGTGTATGTACCTGAGCTATTAACTGGTCAGTTTTGACTCAGCAACCTCAGCAACCTTTGATTGGGTTTCTGGTTTACAGATCTTAATGGTAAGAGATTGCCTATCTTTTTCTCATGGAGCAACTGGTAGAATCAAACCGTCAGCCTTCTGGTTGAGAGCACAACATGCTGTATATCCTGCCACCAGAGCTTCTTTTAAGATACATACGTAGAAGTGAGGATCATATGTTTTTTTAAGAGAGCAACTGTTTATTCTACTTTTTTTAAAAAAAAGTACATTATTGAGTCATTGTGAAATTAACTGGTAGTCTCGTTGGTTGGTCGAGGTAAAGTACCATGTCTTTGAAACACTGCTCATGTAAGTATGTGAGAAGAGCTTGACATGCATCAGAGAGCTTATACAGGAGAACACTGGGAAGGACTTCCTGCAGGACCGGGGCTTTTCAGCAGCTGTCTGCACATGTGATGTCTGTCACCAGATTCACCCATGACTGCAGATTGCACGGTCATGATAGGATATGGAGGAGAAAGAAGACACATGCTTTTGTAAGGACTGTGGCCGGTGTGTTAGCCACATGAGAAACCTCAACACTTAGCGAGGAATCCAGGCAGGATCTAAACCACATGCACGGCTACCCCTGTGTCATTCAGTAGATGTGTAACGCCAGCCACAAATGTGAACCACATACGGCACTCTAAATGTTCTAGTAGCCACATGAAAAGGAGAACTAAGGAATGCCAATTTTAATGTTTTATTTATCCTGTTATATAAAAAAAATATAATTCAATGTGTAATCAGTATAAAAATTATACATGGTAAGTTATGGGTTTTTTTTGGTGTCCTTTGTTGTTGTGGTTGTTGTGTACCTTTGAGTCAGAACTGATCCATGGCTGACCCTCCAGTGAGCCCTTCTTTCTTCTATGGAGCAGCTGGTGGATTGGAACTGCCTAACTATGCATTGGCAGTGCAGGTCCTTACCACTAAGCCGCCAGAGTTTCTTCCTTATTTTTGGTTCCTTACATCTTTTAAATCCCAAATGCACTTCACTGCTGACTTGTGGTGCCCTCCGTCAGATTTCCAAGGCTGTGAAGACAGGAGGGGACTTTCTCTGAATGAGCACCTAGTGGATTGGAACTGCCAACCTGTTAGCAGCCCAACACATTATGTACTATGCCACCAGGGCTCCTTCTTTTAATTCCGGTTTCAATTTCATGCTTTGCGAATCTCAGTTTGGACTAGCCGCATTGCTCGTGCTCAGTAGGCATAGGTGGCTGGCTGTTGGCTGCTGGATCGGAGAGTGTAGGTCTACCGTGTGGTCAGACAGAAAACCTTTCACATTCATTACCATCATGCCTTAACTGACTTGTAGCTGACCCACCAGCAGGTTTTCAGAGACTGTGAATTGCACGGGGGCCTGTCTCTTGCTGGAAAACCCGAGAAACTTGTACGAGTCGCACCTCACCTAATGCCCCAGCTGATTCGTAAGCGTGTTTAGATCTTGTCCGAGCCCAAGAAGAAATGTAATATTTTCTAGCCTGTTGAGTCTTAAATAAGGAGATTTGGTAGACTAGTAGGTTAAGCATTGTCCTGCTAATATTTATAAATTAAAGACTTGATGGTTGAGTATTGGCGACTGAATCCCTTTCTTGCAGTTATGTGGACCAATTTTTTTTCCTGATTATTATTTGCCAAGAGTTTTTAAGGACATGAATGATACCTTGATTTTTCAACTCTGTTTCTCCTGAAATTTCTTGAATGAAGGGGGGGGAATATCATCACTTGTAGATTTCTTCCTACCTGTGCTATGGAGTGAGCGGGTCAGAGGTGGCTGCTGCTGTTCAAATGTGGATAACACATGTCACTTATTTGAAGATGGCAGGATTAAACAACAGATTAGAATATTCAGTATTTTCACATTTGTCGTTAACATCTTGTTATGTTTCTTTACAGGAATACCCATGGTTTGATAAAAACCATTGTGAAATTATTACAGATGCAAGCTGTAAAAGAAGGACAAGGTGGGGAGAAGAGGGTTCAGGATCTGTACACTATTAGGTAAGCCTTTTCTGACGTCTTTGGCTGACTGACACACTAATCACGGGAGGGTCTTGATGGTCTTTCCTGGCTGGGTTTGAAGTTCTGCCTGTCGCTGGTGCTGCGGTTCCCTCCCCACGCTGTGACGGGAAGCACTCAGCTGTCCCTGCAAGCTTGTTTGGAATAGGAATACACATGGCAGAACCCACCTCAGCATGCCCGAATCAGTTCACATTTTAGAATGATTCTCCAAGTGATTCATAGGTGTGGTAAAGTTTAAGAAACACTGATTTCTATGATTCATACATAAGAAAGGTCTGATGATTTACTTATAAAAAAATCAACCTGTGAAACACACTTCTTCCCTGACGTACGTGCAGTTGCCATGAGTAAGGATTGAGCCAGCGATGACGGTAAAAGGAGATTTTCTTGTGTGCAGAAGAGCTGGGGATGCTTTTATTTTCCTGCTGATTCTCCTCATTGTGTATGAGTGTCAGACCTTCACCTCCTTCCCTTCCTCTAATCCATTTCCTTCTGCTGTTGGCCCTTATTACTGCAGCCTTGTTTTCAAAAGACAATAGGTGCCAGGCGTGGATCAAGAGATTAGTTTGAGGAGTTGAAATCAATTGGGTATGTAGTGTGTCCTTAGATAGGTGACACATTAAGAGGTCCAGAATCAATCAACCTGAGTTGGCATAATCCGGTAATGTTTATGGAGAGCCCTTATGTGAATGGCTGTTTGGTGCTATAAATCAGTAGAGTGTAATTGAGTGTGGAAGAGCCTTGACTTACTCCAGGGGGCCTGGCGGATGGCAGAAACACAGGAGAGGTGAGCCTCAAGAGCAGATTCCCCTCAAGAGAGCTGTGATTACCTGAGTCAAGCATAAAATTGGCATGCTGTTTTAGAGCCTTCTTTCCCCCGTATTGGTTAACAGTGTCATCCAGCCTCAGAGAGGCAACTGATGAGCTGTGTATGAAAGCATAAAACAGATGAGAAGCTTAGAATTCCACTGAACGGCATTCTCTGTTTATACTGTAGGATTAGTTTAAAATGGAAATAGTTAGACGAATGATTGTAAGCTTTCTGGGCAGGAAGCTAATCTGTACTTTCATGGTATTAGGGACTCTCCTAGTATATGCTTGGTGTTAAAGTATTATTTCATCTTGTAAATAATAGCTGATTAAATTGGATCATAGTGACATAGAATATATTGCCTTTTTCAATGGATCTGCTTTGAATTGCATAAGCCCTGCTAGTCTAGGAAGAGAGAGGGAGATGCAAGAACCTGGATGGATTCCCTTGATTTCTGTGGATTTTCAGATGGAGCTTTGTAGAAGTATATTTTTTCAAAAAATTTTATTTGTGGTGAGCTCTGGTGGCCTAGTGGCAAGAAGCTGCACTGTAATCCCAGAGGTGTGCTTTTTTAATCCACCAGGTGCTCTGCTGGAGAAGGAGGAACACTCCTCCTGTACCAGTTAGATCTGATTTGATGGTACACACACAAAATAATAATAATAATAATAATAATTATAATAATTATAATTTATATCTGTGTTTACTGAAACTAGAGCTCAGGGTTCTCACGCTTCAGTGTGTGAGAACCACCTGGGGAGCTTATTAACAGTATAGCTTCTCAAGCCCCATCACCAGAGATTCTTGTTTATTTGGTAGATTTGATATGAGACTCAGCATCGGCATGCTTATCCATATGCTCATCGATAGGAATATAATTAATTTGTGCTATGTTTCTTATCTAAAGTAGGATATCTTTTTGCAGGTACCACAACTGCACTAGAAGGATGCCTTTGGCATAGACTAGGTGGTACCTTTAGGGATGTACACCATAACTTGCTTCCTCTTTTTTCCTACTTGGAAGGGAAGATGACAGTGTGTCCTAGGCATCAAGACACCAAGTTCATCTTTCCATATCAACCATGGACAGATAGGCCAAAGGCAGGGCCAGCGACCAGTCTTCAAGGAAATTCCGTCCAGAGAGACCAAGCTGGATGGATACATGAGAGAGAATGTAATCCTGACTTCGTCATTCAGAGCAGTGAAACAATTCTCTGACTCCTTTGGCCTCAACCCGTGTTAGTGTTCTTCATGATCAGTTTGTGAGTGACCACCAACTAGAGGCACAAGAGACTCTTAGCAAATCAAATGATACGTGTTATTTTCAGTGTTGACTACAAACAGAACTCATCCTCCGAGTCTCTAATACTCGTTTCTAACAAGACTTGAACATCCACATTTTTTAACAAAGGCTTTGGAAGCAGGAGGTCTGTGACCATGTTGTAAGGAACATTGTATCAGACTGTGTGTAGCTAATCAAGTTTGTGCTAGTTAGCCAGTTCCTCCTCCCTAACTAGTCAGAATACTGTTAGTTACTGTCCCATTTGTCCTTCCTGCAACTCATGGTGACAGAACACTGTGCTGCCTGGACCTCTGGCAGCCCCGTAATTGTTGGCGAATTGGATGGTTGTGATCTGTAGGGTTTTCACAGACTGATTCTCAGAAGTTGATGGCCAGGGAAAAGAAAAAAAAGAGAAGTAGATGGTCAAGCTTTTTCTCCTTTTCTGTCTTAATCTGGAAGTTCTGCTGAAACCCTTCAGGATTACAGCAGTTTGTAGACCTCCACTGACGCATAAGCAGTGGCGGTTGTGTGAGGTGTTCCGGCGTCTCAGGAATCAAACATGAGTCTTCCTTACCGAAGGGAGAATTTTACCTGTGAGCCTCTCACCACTGCTTCCTAAAGACAGTTGCTATTAGCTTGTGAGTCAGCTTTGCTATGGAGCACCTGTGAGAGAGTAGAATTGCCCTATAGAACTTCCTCGACTGTAATCGTTAAGAAAGCAGATTGCTAGGTTTTTCCCCTGTGGAGCAGCGTGGGTTAGTTCAAGGCCCCCATTTTTGAGGGTAAGCAACCCATTATTTAACCTCTATACTGCTAGAACTTGTTTCCTAAGCTGAGGATATTTAAATGAAATTTTGGTTATCCGTGCCTTTAAAATGGAGATAATGGGATAGAACAATTCTAAATATTTGGCTACTGTGATTAATTGAAAAGCATTTGTAACTTATCACAGGGTCGTATAACTTGGTGAATGGAGGAAGGGGTCAAGAAAATGTGAATGATCTGGTGGGGACCTGAAAAAATGGGGTAATGGTAGGCGTAGTCCAGTGGGGCTTAGTTTTATAAGACACAGTGTGTGAGAATGAATATATGAAATATACTTCCTAAACAACATGCCTCTGGAAACTGTGAACTTAGAGAAGCGATGATAGTTGTAGAACAGGGTTCAGGTCTTTGGTTCATGGGGTCACTATGAGTCGTCCTTGACTCGATGGCAATCAACAAAAACAACGTTAATGAAAGAAAGTGTGAAACAAACGTGCACACACACATGCACATACACACACACATGCACACCCCCCATGAATGAAACACAAACTACATGAATAATTATATGAACACCAATTTAAAAAAAAACACACAGAAAAGCATTTGTGAGGTGTAAAACGCCAGGCCTTCAGTCTAAGCTCCCAATGAACTTTAGAACTGTCTGAGAACTTTGAAATGTTCAGGTTCCGGGTTCTACTGAGAATACTGGTCAGCTTTAGGGATTGGTAGATTTTTTTTTGATGTTTCCATGGTGATTTCTAACTTATCTGTAGAACTGAAAAACTGCAGGCCACTTGTGATGCGGCAGTGGGAGTTCATTGTCGCCAGACCTTTGGAGCTTTCAACAGAAATTAAATTTCTGTTTGCAGTCTCCTCACTCTTATATATTAGCAACTAATTAAAACGCTGAAAAAAAGTCCAGAATGAGCAAAAAAATCTTAACTCTGCAAAAGTAGGTTTCTTAAGCTGAAAGTACTGAAGAACAACTTCAAGCTTAGAGTTGGAATACTGAAGAATTTTCTGTGGGAAAAATAGTGAACGATACAGGGAATATCAAAAGAAGAGATACAGGGAATATCAAAAGAAGATGGAGTGCACAGATACACTGTACTGAAAAGATTTGGTCCACCGTGAACCATTTCAGGAAGTAACATGTTTTCAAGACTTAGGTACCGAAGGAAGATATTCAAGCTGCATTGGTAAAATACAAGGTCCCAGGAAGTGATGGAATACCACTTGAGGTGTTTTGGAAAATAGATGGGGCCCTAGATGTGCTCACTAGCTCACTAGTCTTTCCCAAGAAATTTGGAAAACAGTTACCAGGTTGACTGACTAAAAGAGATCCTTATTTGTTTCTGTTCCAAAGAAGTTGATCCAGCAGAGGGTGGATTTATCCAGCAGTATAATTAATTTTGCGTACAAGTAAAGTCTTGCTGAAGGTTATTAAAAAATGGCTTCCAGAAATTCATGCTATATTCAAAAGAGGCTGTGGACCTAGGGATATGATTACTGAAGTCAGATGGATCTTGACTGAAAGCAGAGAATAACAGAAAAATGTTTCTTGTATTTTGTTGACTGTGAAGATCATAATGAATTACGGATATTGTTGAGAAGAATGGCAAGTCCAGAATACTTAATTGTGTCACAAGAAACCTGTATACAGGAAGCATTCATTTGGATAGAGCAAAGCAACAAAGCATACTTTAAAATCAGGGAATTATGTGTCAGAATTATGCTCTTTCTCTGTACCTATTCAGTATATTTGCTGAACAGATACTTGAGAAGCTGGACTATATGTAGAGAAATGTGGCCTCGGGATTGGACTGGAAGGCTCAGCAGTCTGCATTATGCAGTTTGCTTCATGTGCCCAGTAAAAGAGAAGACTACGTAAAGCATTTGATAATGAAAATCAAAGGCTGCAGGCTTCAATATGAATTACATCTCATTTATCAAGAAAACGGAAGCCCTCAGCGTTGGGTCAGTAAGCAAAATCATGAAGGAGAAAAGTTTGAAATTCTCAAGGATTTCATTTTGCCTGCTCAACACATATGAAAGCAGCATTCCACCCCCCGACCCCCCCCCCCCAAAAAAAAAGATGTGCTGCTTGGGCAAATCTGC